CTATATTTGGTCAGCTGTTAAAGATTCAAATGTGTAATTAATTGATTTAAATGTACTTTTAAGAAATTAAACTTATTGGTGCTTAACATGTATGTAAGACTATACCTGCATTTATTTATTTCTAGCTTGTTTTAAAATGTACAAAGTACCTACATATATTTATGTACTTAAATGTTTTGTATTCGAAACATTTAGGCTGCATTCCTTTATTCGTTGTGAACGTTTGGAATAAACTTTTTTGTTTACTTATTCTGACCGTCTGGTCGGTTCTGGTACTATTGTATACTTATTCTTTAGAACGTTTAGACTTTTGTTTGGATTTTTCGTTGATTTCGTTGGTAAATTAAATACGAAATTTGCTATCCAAAATTAATTGATATCAAATAAAACACCTCTTTGAGGTAAAATATTCGAGGGACGAAAACTGACGGAATATAATTTTATTTATTGGGAAGATGATATTGGTCGTGATGACTATTTTGGTACTAAAAACTAAAAGAAAACATGGCTTACCTCGTAAGCTTCTTACCTATTTTCACTCCATTTCTATGATACTGCCGCCTAAGAAGTTTCACTTCAATAAATTTCATCTGTGTGAAACTATGCTTTGAAATATTCTAAACTTGAAAAAAATTTCCTTTGTTTTCGACAAATTTATTGTATTTGGGAATTAGAAGGGGTCCTCCGTTGAAAATATACAAAATTTTATCGAAATTGGACAAAGTTTACTATTTTTGTCCGCAGCTTATATGGATGTGTATTTGGGGGTTGAAATTCGATTTTTTCCTAATATTCAATATTGTCCAACCATTCGATTATTCGGTTCGAAATTTGTTGTTACAAATTCGATTTAATTAGATTTTTTTCGAATTTACAAAATTTTTTTACTGAACATTTAAAAGTTTGTTTGTAAGAATGATAACTCAAATCGAAAAAGAGATTCAATTGAACTTATATTAATGTGATTAATTACCCGTATCGCTCTTCTTAGCATCACAACCATAAATAAATACAAATAAGAAATATTTTTTCTCAAATAAATATCTCGAAAAAATCTGAAAAAATCCAAAAATTCATCAAATCTATCATGTATTTTTTAGTATCAATTATAATGAAAGTATAATGAGCTTTTATTTACTTATATTTCTTTCTTTACAAAAACTAAAGAAATTTATACATACTACACGTTACATTTGTACTTATACAAACATTTATACGTGTGTTTATACTTATACAACGAATAATAAAGACTTACATTTAATAATAACGTATTATTTTGATTTTTAAAGCGAGATTTTTAAGTACTTGAACAATCAACAAAATCATAGGGCATTAAGAGTTCTATCGAGCCACATTTTTGGTTTTTTCCATAGCAAAACGGCTGGTATTCTTGACTCATGCCAAAAATTTCACTTCACATTTGACATCAGTAATGAAAACGGGAATGTCAATCACCTGACACCAAAATTTGATGACAGTCTTTGGCATTTGACACAAAATGAACAGTTATTAGTTGAGACAGTTTTTGATGTCAGTAATTTTGATATAATGAAAACCAAGCATTAGATACAGTTTTTAGATTAAATATAAAGCATTTGAAATCTTATTTATTTTTTATGAACTTATTTGTATACCTGTAGGTCGTTTCTACCGACTATTTCTCTACTGGTAGAGAATATACGTCATTCTCTGCTCTTCATTAGCAGTAGAGAACAGGACGGCGAATTTAAATCTCAATTCGCCTTGGTAGAGAATTGTTACAGAAACGAGCTACTGGAATGTGTAACTATTTAAATCAACAAATGCATTTCGCTGTGATTTAATATCCTACAAAAAAGCGACTAATCCGGGAGGACTCCCGGATCGCAAGGGAACACGCGACTAATACCACTTTTAATCTCTATATGGAATGAACTATGACACAAAAAAGAAGGTAGTTTCAATAAACAACTTTTTGATTAAAAAGGAGATTTTTAACAATTGCTCAATTGTAAAAAAATCGAAGCGGCGTTACCCAATTTAAGTTTTTTGGTGGAGGGTATTTTATATCCTAACTTCGGGAGTATAAATAAAATAGTTGTATCAACATTCACCTTTCAAAAATAATTAATATCTTATCTTAAAAACGTTAAAATTTTACATTAACTTCGATAACTACTTGCCAAAATCTTTATTTTTACATAAATAAATTTTAGTGAACATATTTTAATTTTTTTTTAGTGCCATTATGGCATCTGATTATTACACAATGTAGCTAGCCAGGACTATTACACATTTCGATATTGTCTTTGTCCATGTCTTTCAAGTAACTGGAAAAGGGAATTTACTTTGGGATCCATAGGCCTCATGACTTTCAGAGAAGTGAGTATTATCCAATTCTAGTATGTTTCGACAATATCGTTGTTTCTTAGGGTACAAATAAGTATATTTTACTGTTCAATATTAGAGGGAGTGTGAAACAAAATTGAGGATTTATTGTTAGTATGAAAACTAGAAACACAATTATCAACTTATTGAGCATTAGACCTCTTTCAAAAACAAAAGGGGGTAATATTTGCTTGTTTGTGCAATGGTTTTGGTTTTTGTACAAATAACCGAGCCTTACCCAACAAAATATGTACCTTTGGCTTGTTCAAATTTCAACAACAAAACAAAACAAAAAACAAAACAAAACAAAATTTGAAGGATTTTAGATATCGGATACGGTAGCACGAAATGTCACAATCTACTTAATTGTCAGATTGTTAATATGGCGACGAAAAAGTGACAATGGAACTACCTTCTTTTTTGTATCATGGAATGAACTGTTCGCTGTGGTAAAAATAAAAAATTACGCCAGCTGCGATTCGAATCAGGGTTGTCAGCAGTGATGGAAAAGTAGGCACAATAGTGCCATTTTTGGAACTTTCATTCACAAGGGCACTCTTGGCTCGATTTATTCAGTTTTGGGCACAATCATAAATTATAGACCAGTAAATAACAAACAATCATATATTACTCATAGATTCGGAAAGCGAAAATTAAAATCACTTAAAAATTAAAATAAGGGTCATTATATAAAATTAATAAAAAGTATGCAATGTAAAGAAGAATATTCAAAACTGATCAAAATGTCGCAGTGCTATTATTTCGCACATAGGTATATATACATATGAGTAAACAGGTCCGAGTAGCTATATTTCAGTGTTTTTCCCCTTCGTAATCGGAATATTGTGTTATTTGACTATGCTTTTACTCTACGTACGTTTCAATGCGGCACAAACAAGGAAAAACATGTGTTTTCAATATTTTTATTCTTATTAACCGAAAAATGAAAACAATCGAACCGCATGGTCCTTAAATATGAGCAATTAAAGAGTGTCGTTACGTGACAAATTGGCCCCAATTGGACAGATTGGTCCCACTGCTTAAACCGGGGAAACTGTCCATCAAAGGAGAGTCTTAATGTCCTATTACTCTTCTTTCCCCGGTAGCGAAGACACAAGAGGACCTTCTGCTCCCGTACTACACAAACCACCTGACCACAGCGAAGCATCAACATGAGTTCCGTAAAGTGCACAACAACAGCACTTAGCGCCAAACACACCCAGATAACTTGTGGCCGCCCCGGTGAGAGAACAATTCAAGTAGCGTTGGACCTGTCCAAGGCGTTTGACACCGTCAGTCACTCCACGGTACTGAAGACATAGCGGCCTCTTCTCTCTTACAGGGACCCAAACGGTGGTCGGCGAATTATCTGAGTGCTCGACACACGTCAGTAATTTTTAGAGACAAATCGAGCAAACCCAGGAAAATAAAACAGGGGGTCCCACAGAGTGGTGTACTTTCCCCACTACTGTTTAACGTTTACAGTTGTAAGCTCCCTCAACCACCATGCTGACGATAGCTCGATAATGGCGTCTGGAAATGGAATTGATGACTTTTGCTCGAAAGTGAACGATTATCTCGCCGAGCTTTCTCGCGTCCTTACTGAACGGAGCTCGCCCCTCTCCCCTAGTAAAATCCTCAGCAACACTTTTCACCACTTGGACGAAAGACGTCAGACTGCAACTGGGTATTCACGCCGATGACGAACAAATCCCGACGGTGAATAAACCGAAAATCCTCGGAGTAACCTTCGACAGTCTGCTCTCCTTCTCGTCGCATACAACTACAATTGTCAATAAAGTGCAAAACCGCAACAACGTCCTCAAGTCGCTTTCCGGCAGACAAAGGCAAAGAAACGTTGTTTGCAATGTACAAGGAAATTGGCCGGCCGGTTCTGAACTATGCAGCGCCTGTGTGGTCGCCGGGGACTAGTAGGACGCAGTGGATGAAGCTACAGATCTGCCAAAACACGGCACTCAAGACAGCGACAGGATGCCCTCTGATGTCGCCGCAACATTAACTGCACGACAGAGCTCTGCAATGAATTCTTAGTAGGGTGTCACCGACGTGGTCACCCGAACAGACATTTGCTTGCGGAAGAACCCTCGCCACAGCACGTCACAAGGAATCTATATATTTATATAAAAAAACCTCTGGTCCCGGCAGGCCTTGAACGGCATTCACAGGGAGTCAGTCTCGAGTTATATAGACTCGACGTGTAATTGCCGTTCTGGGCACACAACCACCAGACGTGAACGAGACAGAGCCTCGTCTTCCTCGGGAGACTCTCACCTTAATGGCCTAACTTCGGTCTGGCTACTGTAGCAGGTTAAGCTCATACCTGAGCAGAGTAAATGCAGCTGTGCCAAACGGATGCCCGGTATGCGGAGGGACACCCCATGACTCGAGACATCTCTTCGTATGCCCACTTAACTCCACTCTACTAACGCCTTTGTTCTTATGGACAGACCGTATCGAGCCCGCACGCTTCATAGGGCTGCTGTTAGTAAAGCGACAACGATTGAGGGACCAGCGGATCGGGGTGGGGTGTTTGTAGCCGCTACTTCAACAACAACAACAACAAACTGAGCTATTAAGTGCAGTTAAGCTTTAGTTCTAAATGGGATATTAGAAATCAAAGCAATAGTAAGAAAATATAATACACAACCGCCTTCATCCGCATCGGTAGAAAGAGTTTTTTTTTTAAGCCACCATGAAGAACCTGCCAAAGTCGAACAAACTATCTGACAAACATTAATTGATTTAAGAAATAATAATGTCGATTGCTGTTACTTGTAAAACTAAAACTTTGTATTTCAAGTAGTTTTTTGGTTATTTATTAGAATATTTCTGACGGGTGACATCGAGATCGAGATTGTTTTTTCTTTATATGAAAAAGCATCTCTTCTTATTCAAATGTTATTAACTCAGTTTTGATTTTATGCACTAAAATGATCACAGATCATAATATCTATTCTATACATACATACATATGTAAATGGTTAACATAAGGTCATAAATACATAGTTTGTTTTCTGTTGTGTTGTTTGAATTAATACACTTTAGAAGATCGTGTGCGGTATCGTTTCGGTGATAATAGCGAGAGAAAAAAATTGCGACTTACAACTTTGTACTTAGGGCACTCATAACTTTTAAAAACATAGGTTTAACATTTACCTAATCTCTTAAACTCACTATTCTCCTTGAACAATATCTCCATCTTCATCGTATTCTGTAAGTAACGGGCTATCATCGCTTAATCGATTAGGCGGTAAAGTGGTGCCTGGTGTTGTAGGTGCTGAACGTGATACCCAAATTTTTCGCACTCGACCTCCTCTGCTAGAGAAAAAATTTGTCCCCACTGCACTGCTAAGAGGACTTTTCAATATATATTTGTTAGCAGGTGTCGATGTAATATTTGGCGTCATGGGAATGTAAAGAGCCTTATTTGGTTTTGGGGTAAAGAGTTTTCTTTTGTGTTGCAATGTCACAGGTCGTTTCAATAAATTATCAGTATCATTCGAACTTAAACTATCTTGCGCTGTTGTTGTTATTACCTTAACTATGCTCTTGTCTGAAGAAGGAGATGTCAAACGAACAGTGGTCTTAGAAAATGTTGGATTAGTTGGCGACTTGACAGTTGGGCTAGGCTGAATTTCACAGCACGTAACGGAACCGCAGATTTTTTTTGGCTGTGTATTTGCACTCGAATCCTTCCCTATGACTACGGAAATGCTCTTTGGGGAAGATAAGGTCTGACGTAGTGCAGGTTTCATATGCAGCAACACATCTTCATGACTTATACTGTCCTGTAACTGACGTATTTGATCGAGAATCTCCCTTACTTCCCCAGTTGGGCTTGTGGCTTGTGGTGGAGAACTGGGTAAGCAAATATTTACCAAACTACTCACAGCAGAACAATTAACGGATCCCGTATAGTTACTCATACCCAAGTCGTCCGCTGCATACCTTTCAATCAACTCATTTAGTCTGGATGACGAAGACTCTGTTTTATTTATCTCAGCATGTGGTCTTTGCTTCAACTGATGTTGCTGTTGTAAGACATTACAACATGTTTCCAGACTTTGCCGCAACAAATGTAGGTCTTTCACTTCTGAATCTGATAAGTTATCTGTATTTCCAGGAGCGGTAAAGAGAATATCAGCAACGGAATCACATGATTTGTAAGTCGGATTTATAATACTTGAGTCGAATACAAGTGGCGTGGGACTCGTAGCAGTGCGGTGCAAGGATTTAGATTTAATGTGGCTATTACTAAAAATTGCTGACGCAGCATGATTGTTAAATTGAGTGTGCATAGGAAGCGTTGTAGCGGGATCAGCCGACTCCGACGGGCTGAATTTTCCGTTCTCTTCAGAATTGTTTATACCTATTAAATTACAACCGTTTTCGTTAGGAGTATTTGCGAATGCGGCTATGGAGCAGTTATTTAGAAAAATATCACTGATACTGCTATTGCTATTATTAATAAAATGAAATTGTTGATCGCTTTGGGACTGTATAAAACCTTTTGGAATACAACCAGAGCTAAAATTGCTAGCACATCCACTGCTGCGGTTGCTTCCACTACTTTCATTGCTATCACGATTATAATTTTGATTAAGTTTTCGATTCTGACTGTTGTCATCAGAAACTTCATTGGAATTAAAATATTCACCAACCGATGTTTGTAAGACCGTATTATAGTTTGTAAGCTTTCCCAGTTCAATGTCGTTCTGATTTCCAACTGCTGACCCATTGAGTGCCACTACAGTAAAGTTTGTTACTTTACTATGGTGATCTTGATGTAGTTTCTGAGCAATAACACCACTACTTATTTCGTGAGCTTCAAGGTTGTTGGAGTGTCTATTACCTCCACTTGCGTACATTAATTGTGATGCTGATCTAGGAATCATAAACTGTTGCTGCAAATGCGAACTTAACTCTGCTTCCGGACTGGCTGCCCGAGAATATGGTGGCGGCACAAGCGTGTTAGCTTCATTGATATTACAAATGAAGCTGGAACTAAGCGAATCGACTGTGCTTGCTGCAGAAAGCGACCCAACAGGACGAACGATATAGTTGCGAAAATATTGTACCATTAGGTAACTGGAACCGGTTTTAACGTTGTCACTGTTGCACGTGAAGACGAGTGGATAGAGATCTGGCTTTGATGTGACCTTAAATCGCAAGTTTATAAAAAAAATCAATTTATATATGTAGAAAATATTGCAAGTGTTACCTCGGTGTACGGAGGCGGCGGATGATGGAACGAATTACAACGACTATATTGTGGGGGTGCATAGCAGGAACCCGCCGAGTCACCCTCGGATTGAGTCTGATGCTCCGTGAATCCCCAGCCACAAAGTGTACGACGTTTTTTCCATAAGGAATACGCACAAAGAATTGCTAAAATGACCGCAACTACCACGCACCTATTAATCAATAGCATGCATGTTATTAAAATGTTGTTATTTTTTAGCGTGTAAACTAAAACAGAGTATTTGAAAAATTATACAGGTTTACAAAAAAAACAAAGCTTAAGCATATTAAACCAAACCTATATGTCCGTATGTTATTCGACACGCTGAATGCGAATCCGAAGTCCGTTAGTCTCCACCACGTCAGGTTCGTGGTCAGTTGAAGGTCAAGTAGGGAAAAATTCATTGAATAAACCTGAAAATTCATATACATAAGGTTTTACATTCGCTGAACCCGAATCCGAGGTCCGTTTACCTCCATAATGGCAGCTTCGAGGTCATTTGAAGGTCAAATAGGATATAAAATGTATTCAATAAAAATTAAAAAAAAAATTGTTTTTGTTGTCACTGAAACCGAGTATGAAGGTCCCTTGATTCCTCAAGGTCATCTGGAGGTCATGCCCAGGTCATCCCAAGGTCAAATTCCGATGAATTTTCAGGTTTATTCAATGAATTTTTCCCTACTAGACCTTCAAATGACCACGAACCTGACGTGATGGAGGCTAACGGACCTCGGATTCGCATTCAGCATGTCGAATGACATAGGGATATATACGAGTAGGTTTGGTTTAATATGCATACACTTTTTTTTTTGTAAATTATACATATTTTATCCTCGAAAAGAACTTTTCCTAATCATGAGCAGAGTGTCCAGATTTGGCGATTTCGCGCCAATTTGGCGATTTTTCTTGGATATTTGCGCGTAAAAATTTAGGAAATCGCCATTGGCGATTTTTGGCAATTTTTTTCCTTCAAATAAATTTTTTCCATTTATAAAAATATACAAAACTTAGTTTTCCACGATAACTTTACAGAAGCGGCTAATGAACTGCGTGACAACCTTCACTTAAGAAGCATATTAAAAGACTGTCAAAAATGTTTAATCACCCTTATCCAAGAAACGATTTTGAAACGATTACCTAGTCAATTAAATACTTTTAAAAAAGCGAGTTTCAGGGACCTGCCAATTCACAATTTGACTTTGAAGGAAAGAAAAGCAGCATAAACTGAATATTTTAATCATTTAACTTTCCCATGGAATAACTTTTTTCAGAACCATTCCATCCGACCCTGAAGAATTTTGAATAATTGCTTACGGAGTGAAAACCACAACAGGCCATAAAATGTCTGTAAATATAAGTAAAGTAGCCTTCATATTAGTTGCGATCCCGTACGAGTCCGGACTAGTCAGAAATAGTCAGAATCAGTCAGATTTTACTGGAAATCGATCCCGTACTCGGTTCTCTGACTACTGAGAGGACAAAAAAGAGAGTAATTGCGGTTCTCTCTCTGCCAGAAGTTACCAGTTTTGGTCCCAGAATTTTTTGCTGGTAAGTTCTGGTAAATGTGTCAAACTGTAGTGTAAAGAAAAGTGTACTCTGCTAATTCATGTTGGAAACTATTTAATTACTTGTTTAAGTGGGTTCTAATGAATTTTAAAGTGTTTTTAGTTATTTGCATGTGTGAGCTGAGTGTGTTTACATACAAAATAAGCAAAAATTTACAACCAAAATTTGGAGGTTATGTTGAAGTTGACAGTAGTTACCATTTTTTACTAGAAAGCGTTCCCGTACTTTTCAATGTTACTCTCTCGCTCTGAGTGAATTATTATTTTTTGACACTTTTACTAGTCCGAGTCTGAGGAATACGGGATTGCACCTATTATTATCCTTGCCGCACTCACATGCTTTTGTTGAGCGCGTTTTTTCCGTAATGAATTCAACAAAAACTAAGATTCGAAATAGGATGAGGTTGGAAAGCCTTAATTCAATAATTCGAATAAAGTGTTATATGAAGACTACTAGTTTCTGCTGCAAAACGTTCAAACAGTATGTTATCAAGGTTAAGTAGCATAACATACATGTAAATCATTCAGACACTATAGGTGATTTTGAAGAAATTGTGGAAATAGCTGACCTCGCCTTATTATAGGATTCTATTTTATTTTTAGCGCCGAGCGCTTAAAAGCGGATTTTGCGATTAATCAATTAATATGAGTTATAATAAATTCAATAATTGCGCAGTCCTATTGCAAAATGTATTGAAACAAATATTTAAAAAAATATGCGTATTTTTTAGAAAATTGTTTGTACATCACTATTACATAAGTGATTTGTGTTATTTATTATTTCCTTCTGAAGCTATTATATTCGTTTTTGGTTTTAAAAACTATATTATAACAAGATTTCATCTTTAAAATAAAATATTTGTTAAATCGATTTCATGAATTTTATTTAGAAAAAATTGGCGATTTTTGGCGATTTTTTTCAGAAATTGCGCTTTTTTTTAAACAATCTGGACACCCTGATCATGAGGCGAAATTCCCCACAGTAAGTGTTGCCGTGCGCGAAAAACGAAAACGCTGTACACAACCCAAAAGTACCCGGGGACCAATTGGTGAAAATCTGCGAAAAGGTTTATTTCTGTATATACTGTGGCATAAATGCAGAATAACTACAATTCTCAAATCAAAAATATGTATACGAGGATTGATGGAGATCATTGAGGTGAGCCTAGAGGTATGTATTTCTTGGGGACAAACAACAACTACAAGAGTTAGTAACGGTCAAAGTTCGAATTAAGAATTTTTTTCAAATAAAAATTTTTCAAAAATCCTTTCATGGATATTAAAAACGGTTATGCCATTCGATAGAGAATTTAATTTGATGTACATATCTGTGTTCGTATGGAATAGTAGCTTATGTCCAAAGGCTGGCTTTAGTATAGTGCGGCATTCTCAGCATACAATTGCGAATGACTCACTGGCGCCGAGCCGTTGAAGAACTTTTGGCAAATAAATGTGCAAGAAACAGTTCCGATACTAGCAAAACAGTATCGTCCAAAGATTCCTTGTCGTTTAAAGAATAAAGGGAATGCCGCATTATACTAAAGCCAGCTTCCCGACATAAGCTACTATTCCATACGAACACAGATATGTTGTATACGCCTTGTATATGTAGTTTTCTCAAAAATCGAATTTATGTAAAAAATATATTAAAACAAATGTTTCTGGAAGTATATAGAATATTAACAAGCTTTCATTTGATATACAGTATGCAGTCAATAGACCTTACTTTACACAGAAAGAAGAATTCAACTTAGTAAGTGTTATAATCCCTAAGCGTGACCGAATGCCGCCTACGCGGAAAGATGTTTTCTGGAAAAGGTGTCCAGCTCCTCTTCTTCGGCGACACACAAAGGAGAATTCTACTTGGTAAGGGTTATAATTCTTAAGCGTGACCAAAGGCCGCCTACACAGACAGAAAGAAGTTATGCGTGAAAATACTGTGGATAGCATAGCCGGTGTTGGACGGACCAGGGCTGTTTTTTTTTATAATTTTTAAAGTGAGGACTATTGACTGCATATTTTAAATCAAATGCAAGCTTGATACATTTCCTATTTAATTTTAGACCATTTGCATATAACTAATAGTTTTGATGTAAAAAATTGCTTAGTTTGAACTTTGACCTTTCATAACTCTTGTAGTTGTTGTTTCCCCCAAAAGCCGTTATGTTCAGCTCAATTATCGCTATCGATCCTCATTTTTTGCTTTTAAATTTGAGTATTTTAGGTATTCTGCATTTGTTTTTAATTGATTAATAAATACAAAATTAGGAGGGCACACTAATTTAATAACAATGATTAGCAGACTGCGGATGTTTGTGCAAAAAATAAGCCTAAAGGTATGTATAACTATAAGCAAAATCTGTTACAAATTTATACATTTTCTGTGTTTGTTTGTATAGGTTTTTTTTTTACATAAAAATCAGTTGTTTAATTATGATAAATTTAACAGCTCTTGAAATTGTATACAAAATCGTTTCGATCTTTAAAACATCTTAAATCTCTGACCATTGTTACGTTAACATGTTGTCTTAATATTTTATCTTACCAAAAAAACCAGTGGCTGATGAAAAATAAATTCAATACGTGTTCGGACGGCGGTGGTAGTTGTCGTGGCCCACTTTGGTATGGTGGACAACATCCTTGAGTACAACATTCCCTTGGCAACGAACAATAATGGCCTCCTTCACAGAAGCGAGCTGTAACCTGGTGATAACAATTAAAAGTGCATACATATATTTCATACATATATTCATATTCATATATAAGTATATATCGTTGCTTGAAGTACAAAACCGCGTATCAACAAAATGCAAAACCACGTATCAAGACAATCCAAAGCCGCGTATGTGAGGTTGCATAAATAATTTTCTAGAGAGTAAAAACACTCATATTTCAAAATGATTCTTTTTTTATAAAGCAATCGAATTTCCGGCTAGTATATTTCAGGACGAATGGATAAGGATTGAGCCAAGAGCTTGTATGAGCTAGCGGGATCCCGGGATTTTGATATTCATTAATTTTCAACTTAAATCAATGCAGAATAAAGTATGGGTACCAAATGCAAGAAAAAATTCCTTTAGATAAAAAATAAAATAAATTTTGTGGGTTCACATGGACGAATAGGTAATTTTTTGAGCTGGTAAAGTTAGAAGGACGAAATTCGAGGATGTTATCGAGTTTATATAAGCCCTTAACACATAATTTTTTCAAAAACAAATATTGCGAAAAGTCAAGGATAAAATTTTAAAAGGACACTTTCAAACTTACCAGTCCTTCAGCACCAAAAACTTGAATCTGTTTAAATTCTAAAGGATTTCCTCTTTAATTTGATACCCTACTTATTCTCTAAGCACATTTCTCTAAATTTTTAAAATAATTTTTGAATCACTGACGTCAGAATGAAAAGTTAAGAAGGCAATTTAAATATATTTGGCCCATAGCTTCGCGACTATCTTGATATTTGCGTTCAAGATTTACTGTCACGCGGTCCTTTTCAAATTGTCCCAATTTTCTCTAAGAGTATGGAACTGATTTCATATATCTCCATACCATGTTCAAGTACAATACCATGAACACATCCGGAGATAGGCAGTGTGAAAGATTCGGTTTGTATGGGAGGTGCCACGCCCCTTGTTCCAATAGCCACAATTTTTCTTCATGACTATGCGACTGACTTTATATACCTTGTACATCCTAATTCCGGTACTCTACCACGACCACTTCCAGAAATATGCAGTGAGAAAAAATCCGTTTTATGGGAGGTGCCACGCCCCTTTTTCCAATAGCCCCAATTTTTCTTCAGGACTATGCGACTGACTTTATATACCTTGTACATACCAAGTACCGGTACGCTACCACGAACACTTCCAGAGATATGCTGTATGAAAAATTCGATTGATATTGATATGCCTCCTTTTCCGATAACCACAATGTTTCTCCATGAGTATGCGATTGCTTTCATATATCTCCATACCATGTTCGAGTCCTCTTCCATGAACGTTTTCCGGGATATACAGTATGAAAACTTCGGTTTATGTGGGAGGTGTCACGCCCCTTTTTCTAATAGCCCTAATTTTTCTTCATTCCGTTTAGGAGGTGTTCGACTCCTAACACCGTGACACGAGATTTTTATATATTAGAAGGAGATAATAAGCATTAAAGAAACAAAGAAACATACCCAAAACCATGATACAAAAAAGAAGGTAGTTTCAATAAACAACTTTTTGATTAGAAAGCAGATTTTTGACAATTGCTCAATTGTAAAAAAATCGAAGCGGCGTTACCCAATTGTATATATGGATTTATTGGAAAATTGCGGCGTGCCACCGTAGAACTTGGAAATAGAGGTAAATGAAATCAATCCCAAACCTATGAAAAATGGGGGTATATGAAAACGATCTCGAAGCCATTGAAAGCTAGCGGTATAAACCAAATAAACTAAAATTCTTGTGACGCATAGATACCTCTGGAAGCATTTATTTTTCCAACGGAAATATGTACAGGAAAACGGGCGCGACACCTTCTGGAAAGTAACATGATCACAGGGTGTATCCCGAGAACCATTTTAAGCTAAACCTTCAGGGATTACTTTCTCGCCAAGACCCATAGGCATAAGCTGAAACTGCGTCGCAAGTTTTATGATCGGCTTAGGTAAGGTTTAACCACTAAACCCCCTTTGTTTTCGTCGCTACTGAATTCTATAAACTGTCAGCTTTCACACAATTTAAAATGTACATGTAAGAACAAACTATTTTTAAATCGACAAAAAATTAATAAGAAAATTTGAAGGATTTTAGATATTGGGTATGGTAGCACGAAATGTCACAATCTGCTTAATTGTCAGGTTGTTAATATGGCGACGAAAAAGTGACAATGGAACTACCTTGTTTTTTGTATCATGCCCAAAACTATTCAAAATGTTGTGTCCCTATAATTTTTCACATGACATGAAACACAGCGCAAACATGATATATCAACGGTGGACAAACGCGGCTCTTTGAGCCAAATGCGGCTCTTTGCTTAGCAAAGTGCGGCTCTTTTTACTTTCTCCTTGCTATGATCATTTTGGCACTTTTTAAAATACATATTTCTTTGTTGGACATTCTTTTCCATTGCTTTTTTTTATATTCTTTGTATATACACATACGCGAATTGAGATCGAAATATTACCCGCAATCGGAGAATGAAAATTGGCTTTCTGACTTAATGTTCTTTAACGATATGATGGAACATTTGCAAAACCTGAATTTGTCTCTACAATTAGAGAATAAAAGTGTTTTTGATTTGTCGGAAATTATTTTAAGTTTTGAAGCTAACTACGTCCTTTTTTATGATCTCAAAAAAAGAATATTTCATCATTTTTCATGGCTAGAAAAAATATTGCACATAATTTAAAAGCAGATTTTGAAAAAAATTTGCCGATTTGAAATTAATTAAATGTACGTTTGCATACTTCATAAGCCGTTTTTTATGTAACATAATTGAGAATGAATTTACAATATCCGAAATACTCCTTTTTATGAAAAGCGCAGAAGAGTTGGAATTTTGCGAATTAAAAGAAGACAAGGCACTGGAAATGCAGCATAAAGCTTTACTATTGCTTGATTTCCGGCAATAAGTATCAAATTTAAAATATCAGCTGTTGAAAACAGCTGCGTCCCGTATATTTTCAATTCTTGGTACAACGTATAACTGTGAGTGTGTACTGTACAATGACATTCGTAAAGTTAAAATGCCGTTCACACTAGATATGGGCACGGGCCTAAATTTTCAGGCCCGACCCGGCACGAGTGCAAAATCAACTTTCAAAAATACGCACGAGCCCGCACGTTAAGAATTTTAGTGGGGCCCGGCCCGGCCCGGCACAACGGTACACGTCCCAGCCCGGAAATAAAGAGCCAACTTTTATTGTATGTATACATGTGTACATATTTTTAATTTTGTGTTTATGTATGTATATTTACCTAAGTGAATCAATATTTTACTTGAAAGATTTGTATAATATATTTTCTGGGAAGTAAAAAAAGTGGAAAGTATTTTATGTACAGATAAGTTAACAAAACTTCTAAGTATCTTATTTTTTCTATCGGTCTCCAAATATTTCTTTTTTGCTTTTCTCTTATCAAAAGAGGTTTAATATGTACTATTTTTTTTTTATAAAAACAACAGCTTATCTCAATTTGTATTATTAGCAACGGGCTTTTTCGTGCTTACTCGTGCCTTTATGAAAGTTTACTGAACGCCCATGCACGCACGAGTTCGTTCTGACAGCAAATATTTCGGCCCGTACCCGCGGGCTTACGCAGGGGCCCGCCGGGTCTGGTGTTGCCAGACATTTCTTCTTTGCGCCCATTTTTTATGTCGCCTTTCGATTTTGGTTCTGAAAATTGTAATTGTTTAGCTTAATTACAAATTTCTAATATATGTTCTTTCTTTTCCTTTATTTGTTTGTTTTCATCAGCCATTGCGCTCAAATCAAATGCAAAGACGTAAACCGTCCCCAACAAGCTAAAAAAAATTTGATTGGTATTCCCATAATGCAGTAGGTCGCAAAACGTAAACGCGTAAATAACATACCTTTGAGTGTGACAAAATGTAGACGGCGTCGTTTTCCGATTTTGTATGGGAAGCAACAACACCACTGATTTTACGGTTAGAAAACTTCTTAAAATGTAGACGTCTACATTTTAAGACACTATTTGGAACGAACTGTGAAAACCCCATATAATTCTCTTGTGAGAGAACAGATGCCATTTCACCGGAATTTTGCTGTAGGACATTTTTTGCTGGAGATTTTAAACGAACGTACCTATTGACTAACCAACATTTAACAGAACTGTTACTAACGGCTTTATCTGACGTAAAACCAGATTTTGAAAATTTGGCCAAAAGATCTTTTGAATTTTCTTTAATATCTATCTTGCGTAAAATGCATTTTAAGTTGACTATGAAAAAGAAAAAATGGTGATTACAATAAAACAGAATTTTAATCGTTAAAACCTTTTTCTAATTTCTCTGCGACTACGAGCCAATATCTTTAAAACTAGAAGGCCCCGGAACCTAAAAGTGGGTATATTTGAAAAGGTGAAGAGCCCAGCTTTCCAATGGCATAGTCAAAATTTTTCGACACGGTTACCGTAATCTCCTCCGAATGCCTGCTACTAATACGAAAAAAACGCTATCACTGAATTCGAGTTAAATCGAAAATATCGTTGCCAGCTTCGAATTCTGATTCGAAATTAGCTATTGCAAAAGAAACAATAGACATTTATGTATGCGAGTATAACGGTATATTTCTTTTCTTGCGTAAACAACAATTACAAAAGTTATTAAGGGTCAAAGTTCAAATTAAACAATTTTTTAAATAAAAATTTCTTAAAAACGAATGCATGGATTTTAAAGTTTTTATACCCGAGCGCACTTGTGCACAAGGGTATATTAATTTTGTTCACATAACGGTTGTTTGTAACAGCCAAAACGAATCGAGATAGATATAGACAAATGTATACATAAATGATCAGGATGAAAAAAGAAATCGATTAAGCCATGTCTGTCTGTCCGTCCGTCTGTCCGTCTGTCCGTCTGTCCGTCTGTCCGTCTGTCCGTCTGTCCGTGTACACGATAACTCGAGCAAAAATTGAGATATCTCAACGAAATTTGGTATGTAGGCTTCCCTTAATCCAAGGTAGGTTGCTATTGAAAATGGGCGAAATCGGACTGTAACCACGCCCACTTCCCATATAACGGTAATTTCCAGAAATACGAAAACTGCGATATTTTAGTAACTACTGAAGATAAATCACTCAAAATTAGTATTTACAATAATTTTTTGGCAAAAAATAATAATATTATACATTTTTGGAAAATGGGCGTAGCCACGCCCACTTATGGTTACATGTGTATATCTTGGTAACCGCTGTACCAATTTCTACCAAACTTGGCACAGTTATCGGCCCTGGTACAGCATATAAAATCGCCTAAAATTTTTAAAATCGGACGATAACCACGCCCACATCCCATATAACGGTAATTTAGAGAAATACAAAATCTTCGATAAATCAGTAAATATTGAAGCTAATTTATTCAAAATTGATGCTTGCAACAATTCTTTACCAAGAAATACGTTTGTGATAAATTTTTGGAAAATGGGCGTGGCACCGCCCACTTATGATCACATATATGTATCTCAGTAACCGTTCTACCAATTTGTACCAAACTCGGTGTGGTTATTGTGCTTGCCACATATAAGCAAACCGTTGAAAATTATTGAAATCGGACTAAAATAACGGCCGCTTCTCATATAACGGTAAATTTCAGAACTGCTTGAAACTTCAAAATTTCGAAATCTAAGGACTCTAATTTACTCAAAATTGATACGCCCCGGCTTACCATATAGCCGTAGCTTTCGGTAAGGCGAAAAACATATATTTAATACGTGCGCCGGGTATTTAATGTTCGGCTCTGCCCGAACTTAGGCTTTCTTACTTGTTTTTGTTTAGTTTTCACAAAAATCGAATTAATGTACGCAGAAAGCCATTCCGCTTCTCTTTGCGGCAACACAGAAAGGAGAATTCTACTTAGGGAGGATTATATTTACGTAAAATTAAAGGGAATCAAATTTCCTATCAAATGAGTTCAAAATTTTTAAAATCCATGCATTCGTTTTCAAAAAATTTTGATTTAATGAATTGTTTAATTAGAACTTTGACCCTTAATAACTTAGTTGTTGTTTCCGCAAAAAAATATTCCGTTATGTTCAGCTCAATCATCCCTACCGACTCCAATATTTATTTCTTTTTTATTTGAGAATCGGAGCTATTCTGCATTTGTTCCAAAATTTTAATTCGTAGTCGCGCCGAAATGTCAAACGAGCACAATCGTCAAGTCGAAATGTCACGCAACAAAACAAAATCTTAGCTTTTTACGCACGCCGGTCAATTTCGGTTGGTCCCATACAAGTTGTATGTGCATCATGATTCAATAATAAAAGGTTTGCTCAAAAAACAGTTTTCTCGCTCCCTCTTGACAAAATCGAACTCGAATGTCACTAATGAGCAAACCTTTAATTATTGAATCATGTATGTGCATGAGAAATTTTTGACAGTAAATTGCCGTCGTGCGTGAATATTGGGTTGGTCTGTCAGTCTCTTATTTTTCTAAACCTCAGCAGATTGTAATGCCAAATGCGCGCAACCACGGTTAGATGCTAGTTTTCCCTGGTTGCGCAAGTCAAGACTTTCCTCTAGTGCGGTTTAGAAATAAGATTTTGACGTTTTGGAATGCACCCTCTAATGTGCATACATACATCTGTTTATAATTATGTTTCTGTATGTAGTATACATGTATGTACGTATATGAACATGTGTTTACACATATTCATATATGTATGAATGTCAATGCATTTTAATGTAATATGTACGTTATAAAAACTTACTGGCCCCGGCATACGGATGATATTAAACATTAAAATAGTAGGGAGCAAAATCATGTTTTCTCTCCTAGAAACTATTTGTCATTGATTGAAGATAAACTGTTTTTCCGTATCCATCAACTAGTGGATAGTTAGCCCCAGTGTTTTATCGATTGTGTTTTTTCGCAATGACGTCTGGCGTCTCATAATTTTCTTATATAAAATTGATATCTCTCCCAAAAGCAATTATGTATAATAGTGCGTAAGGTATTTGATTCGGCTTTATGTTTAGCTTCTTAACTAGCGACCAAACTGTTACCCCAAACTTTTCATTATTTTCATACACTTTTCACTTTCTCGTTACACAATTTGTTAAAATAAAATATTACGTTATTTCAATATCTTTCACACTCATAGCCAGTAATTAAAAACATTTTATATATTTTTTCTACTGCATCTATTCAATATAATTTTCACAAAAGCCGTGAGGAAAAACATTTCAGAGGAGACATTTTCTTAACTACCCTTAACATATTGTTCGTCATTCCTCAACTTCCGCTTAACCACCCTGTGTTGGGACGTCTATTTACCCTTGGCGTTATTCCTTTTATTCAATATTAGTCTGTTCCCGCACGCGTCAGATGTGTTAGTTCTGCTCACGATGTAGTGAACAAAGGTGGCGCATTCCGTAAGCCGCAGCATTTTCTTTATCAATTGTTATTATAATCCATTATTTTACAATTGAACAGATTTATTACACGTTTCCAATCGAAACATTTAATATTAGCTTTGTTCCATATTCTTTCCGGGCTGTTTCGGAAATTAGGCCCAATTTCAGTTGGCCTACTTAAGTAGAGATTGTTGATTAACCTTCACTATTCATTTTAAGATCATATATTTAATCTGAACTTAAATGGCCAATATTGTCTATTTAAATAAGAGATATTCAACCCTGGATTTGTACCAAACAACCAAGATTGATTGGAAGGTTGTTTAATCAATCCCACCAAAAAACAATCAGCTGTTCAGCACAAAATGCCAATTGATTGGCATATTTAAATAAAGTTGATCTGAAACCCAACGAAAGCTAAATGGAATTTAAAAAGCAATCCACAATTAAACTTAAGTGCCGTTTAAATATTCATTTGAAATTGACCTTAGGGCTTAAAAATAAGTTACTCTCTCACAAGTGTCAAAAATGTGTCAACACGTGCCAAAAGTGACCAGAGCGTGAGGAACTCAAAAAACCTCATTTCGTGCCCGGAACCAATAAATCTCCTCTGAACAATGATTTCATGTGTATTTATCTTATATGGCTAATAAAACTAGCAAATACTTCCATTTCTGAAACTTTGCTGCTATTTTCCCTTTTTGTATTTTACAAAATTTGTTTTCGGATGTAAACAAACAACAGCTGTTCAAATTTCAAATTGATTTTTTGCACATTTCTGCACGGAAAAAAGTCCGGGCTGTTTCAGGCACGAGGACAAGAAATATACTTTTGTGAAAAGGGGATTTCTGTCCCTTTTCTTCGCACGCAGAAAGGAGAATTCTACGTAGAGAGGGTTATAATCCCTAAGCGTGGCCGAAGGCCGCCTACGAAGAAAAGTGTTCTCTGCGAAAGGTGTTCAGCCCCTTTTCTTTGGCAACACAGAAAGGAGAATTCTACGTAGTGAGGGATATAATCCCTAAGCGCGGCCGAAGGCCGCCTACGCAAAAAGAAGTTGGACGCACAAAAACTCGTTTAATAGAGTGCCAGCAGCAACTTACCTCCATTTTATTTTTAATAGAGCGACAGCACCAGTTTTCCTCCATCGTATTTATATTAGCTGCGATCCCGTACGAGTCCGGACTAGTCAGAAATAGTCAGAATCAGTCAGATTTTACTGGAAATCGATCCCGTACTCGGTTTTCTGACTACTGAGAGGACAAAAACGAGAGTAAATAAGGTCCTCTCTCTGTCAAAAGTTACCAGTGCTAGTCCAAAGATTTTTTGCTGGTAAATTCTGGTAAACGTGTCAAACGGGCTGCTGTAGTGTGTTTGGCAACCAAATTGTAAACAAAAGATAAGTCCACTCTGCTAATTCATGTTGAAAAGTATTTAATTACTTGTGGATTACAATGAATTTGAATGTATTTTTTGTTTTTTTTTCATGTTTGAGCTGAGTTTGTTTACATACAAAATAATAAAAAATTTAAAACCTAAATTTGGAGGTTATGTTGAAGTTGACAGAAGTTAAAATTTTTTGCTAGAAAGCGATCCCGTACTTTTCAATGATACTCTTGCTCTGAGCGAATTTTTATTTTTTGATAGTTTAACTAGTTTTAGTCCGACGAATACGGGACTGCACCCATTAACTTCACAAGATTGTTGTGCGGATTTTTAACATTGGAATATTGCAATTAAATACACAATTTCGTGAAAGTTTACCCTTAAAACATCACAAATGTTAAAAAACCATTAATTGCTTGTTAAATTCATTTACTCCATTTATTTGCGTCAAATCATCCCAATATATTGCGAAAAGTGCATCTTTATTTCTTTGAATTTCAGACAAAGCGATGTTTGGGCGTGCGATGTACTTGAGCTGTCAGTTTACAGAAAACATCGTTGCTTCGATGCCTCGATGAATCGACTATATATACATCGAGTGGAAAAATTTCGTTGCATCGAAGCAAAACATCGATATTTTCGATGCGTCGATGTTTTTCTGACTTCTCTACGCGCTTCTAATTATTGTCCGGTTTAGATCGTAATTATAAATATACATACATACATCCATGGCGCATCCATACGCCTTGCATACATCAAAATAGAATTAAAAGAAAGCCAAAACATTTTCGGTGTTTTTATGACATGTGGATTCTCAGGAACTTACAGCCAATGAAGATAAAGCTACTCTCTGTGTATCTATTTTTATATTACTGCAATAAAGTTGCTGCAAGTATACCTGAGGATAATGGTGTTCGATCTCAAGGTATGATTTTTGGAGAAATTTATTTGTGATATACCTACATACTTATGAAAATCGTTTTTAGTGACATTTATGGATCCAGGAACAATAGTAGACTATAAGCCAAAGTCGCGCCACAGAGGATTTTTCGAAAATGATATGCGAATATATTGTTACCGTGGATCTCTTAAGGATTTGACTCGCTTTTTTGAAAATGTTGAACTCAATTTGGAGATCGAAGGCGATGAATATACGCAATATGAAGGTGTAACACCTATGGAAGTCCGCCAGCATTTTGAAGAAAGGCGGTCATTGTTTAACTTCAATTTATTCAGTCAGAAGCGTGCTCGTCTGCAGCTGTCGCCTTTCAAGCAGCAATGTATTGGTATCGACACCACTTTGCCTTACCGCGTTCGCCTACTGCAAATTCGAGTTGACAACTTTCGTGTTCTAGAACTTGCGTTGGGTATCAGCATTTTTGTTTTCGCCGGAAAACTTAGCGATAACTCATTATTCTTTTATTTTACGGGTATTGCTTTCGGCATATGTTCATCGTTTATGCTTCTGATTTGGCTATCTAGCAAGTTAATGCCTCGGTAATTTTAATTATTTAAGTAGTCTTTGAAAATTTAAATATTATTCATTTTTAGACGCCCTATGGTTTATGGAATGCTTATCGGTGGTTGGGCGCTTGGTGTTTATATTATTCAACGACTTTGGGAAAACCTCCATTTAATTTTTCAAATGTATCGCGTATATGTCCTTTGGTATATCTTTTTAACGGGGCTACTGTCATTTTTTTTCTGTTACCGTGTGGGACCTCCTAAAAATCGTAGATCGAAAAATATAATAAAATGGATATTGCAAATAATGGCATTAGCTTTAATTTATATATCAAGCCAGTATGAAGAAGCCAGTGCCGCAATAGGGGTTCTCACTATCGTAGTAAATTATTTCCCGTATTATATATTTCACAAACTTCTCAAGATATACAGACGGTTCTTTCCACCTAAAAGGCGTTTGCTAACCAACGATGAATTTTATGAACAAGGAGTTATAGAAACTTCAAAGGCATTAAACGAACTGCGAGCGTTTGCAAGTAGTCCTGATTGCAATCAGTGGAAGGTACGTATATTTGTCTAAACAAATCTCCATCAATCATTAAATTAATCCGTTTTTAGATTATATCCAAACTCAGAGATCCGTTG